TGCATTAGATCTCACCTTTGCTGCGTTTGCTGCAGCAGCGAGCAGCCAGCTGAGCCGTGGAGGCAGCGGGGCTGCTGCCGAGTCAAAGAATGCAGAAACTAATCTGCTGCTGCTGCTGCTGCTGCTGCTGCTGTTTGTGCTGCTGCTGTGTCTTCCTTCAGGCGGTCTCAGTCTCGTACGTTGCAAGAAGAGCAGCAACAGCAGGAACAGCAGCAGCAACAGCAGCAGCAGCAGCAGCAGCAACAGCAGCAGCGACAGCAGCAGAGGAGAGAAGATCAACTCCACCATTTGCTGCTCCCAGAGCAGCAGCAGAAAGTTTCGGTGGAGAGCCGAAGCAGCAGCCAGCAGCAGCAGCAGCAGCAGCAACAGCAGCAGCAGCAGCAGCAGCATTTGTCTAGCTGCAACACATCTGCTGCTGCAGTTGCTGCTGCTGACAGCAGAATCAGCAGCAGCAGCAGCAGCAACAGCGTAGACATAGGCAGCTTGCTGCGTGCACATTCTCCTCAGCCTGGTGCTGCTTCCTTCAGCGCAGCAGCAGAAGCAACAGCAGCAGCAGCAGCAGCAGCAGCAGCAGCAGCAGCAGATGCTGACTGCTGCAGCGACGATGATGTAGCAGCAGACCTGCAGCAGCCGTTTTCGTATATCCCCTGCAGCAGCAGGCCGCAAGCAATGACCCCGAGAACAGCAGCAGCAGAAGCAGCAGCAGAAGCAGCAGCAGCAGCAGCAGCAGCAGAGAGAGCAGCAGCAGCAAGAGATTGTTGGGACGTTGAAGGATATCCCGTAGCAGCAGCAGCAGCAGCAGCAGCAGCAGATGGAGTTCTCTATAGTGCTTCGCTTGCTGCTGCTGCTCTTGACGTCTCCTCTCTCCCCTTCAGCCCCGCAGAGAAGTCTATCCTTGCTTCGCTCAAACTACCCAGACTCGGTACACTGCTGCTGCTGCTGCTGCTGCTGCTGCTGCTGCTGCTGGTGCTGCTGCTGCTGCTTGTGATGCTGCTGGTGCTGGTGCTGCTGCTGCTTGTGTTGCTGCTGGTGGTGGTGGT